CCCCCAATAGCTAGCAATCCAAAACAATCCAGTGGAGCCTGAGCGGTGGGTGTTGCCTTCTGACACACTTCTGGGGGTGTGGCGTATGCAAATAAGTTATGCTAATGAGCTATGCTAATGAGCTCCTGCACCTCTTTTTCTATGAAATGACCCCTGAGTATGACCACCAACAGGCACGTACTTGCTGTGCTTTAACAGGGCCCAATTAGAAGAGACAAAGGAAAACCTCTTGTCCGGCTCCCAAGGGGCTTGTTCTGTAAAATCGCAGCTGCAAAGGGTTGCCGGGTCTGGGCTAGGAAATCCCGGGCAATTTGAGGGTGGAGCCTGGGGTGGGTGAGGTTTCAGGAAAAGAATGTGGGTATCGTCAGGAGATAATGCCACTGGAGCCCACTCTCCAAAGCCGCCGTCTCCTCCAGAGGAATTGAACTCTGTAGTCTAAAGATCAGTTGTAATTCTGGGAGATCTCCAGAGAGAACCAGAGAAGCCTTTTTTAGAATGGCTGACTTATGCACAGTAAAACTGAGAGCTTAGGTTCCAGGAAAAATATGTCTGCCTGAAGAAGAATTTGTCGAAACACGCAATTTTTGCCTAGGAGGCGTGTTGCTTGCTTTGATGCTTGCTGAAACACTTTGTGGGGGAAACACAACTGCCTGCCTGCTTTGATGATTGCTGAATTACTCTTTGTGGAGAATATAATCTCTCATTATTTATGACTGTTGCAACTTTCAACAGTCCTTTATTAGGAGCAAGATAGTCTACAGCGTTTGAATAGGTCTTTGTAGCGGTGGACTTTTCTATTAGTAAATGCAATGTACTTTAGGTTTTTGTATAAGATAGACTAGAGTCTTTATTGCAAGTAAATCAATATAAGAAGACACATTAGTAGAAGTGTGTTTTGTTCTATCACGGTGTTTCTGTACGTTTGCCCACCTGGAGGTTGGCAATCAAACTCCCATTGTACTGTGGCTCCTATGAGAGCCAAAGTGGTGTAGCAGCTAAAAGGGGCGGACTCTAATCTGGAGAGCCAGGTTTGATTCCTCACTCCTCCTCGACATGAAGCCAGCTGGGAGATCTTGGGCCTGTCTCAGAACTCTTTCTGCCCCACCTACCTCATTGGGTGCCTGCTGTGAGGAAAGCTGCTTTGAGACTCCTTTGGGTAGAGAAAAGCAGGGTATAAAAACCAACTCTTCATATTTTTCTATTTAGCAGATCCAACCTTTGAGTCTCTCAGCACCTCACCTAGACCATTTCTGCAGTGGTGAGATTGCCCGCATTGACGTTCTTAAATCTGTGCATCATGTGAAATTTTCTGCATTAGATTTTTCCTCACCAAGCGCAAACCTGAAGTTTTCTACTTCTTTCCCCACATGTTCAAAACTTGCTAAAACTGGGGATTCCAAAAATGTGGGGGAAGAAGGAGAAAAGTTTGGGTTTGCACCTGGTGAGGAAACTATCTAATGCAGAAAATTTCACATGACACACAGATTTCAAAAGTCAATGCGGGGAATTTTACTGCTGCAAAATGGTCCTACTTTGGAGGTTCAGAGGAAAGAGACTCTGAGTGACTAAAGGGGAGAATCTTAAGTAGACTATGAGTGATGCCCTGGGACCAGTTGCAGATTTAAAAGCAGATTTTCTTCAAGGCGAGATGGATGTGATCTATAGGTCATATTCAGAATACATAAAGAAAAATAATCTGCCCGGTGAGGTGGTGGTTAGATTCTCCCGAAGACATGTGATCAGATATTAAAAGCAACAAATGGAGCTACCCTTAAAATCGATGGCAAGGAGATAAAAGTTCTGAAAGACATTCCCTTTGAAATAAGGGAAAAAAGGAAGAAATACAGAGACCTAGCTGTGGAGATCCCAAGATGGCGACTGATGCAGATGCCAGACGCTGAGCTCTGTGTTTTAATTATTGTTTTAGCCTGCCAAACACTCCCTTTGGACGTTCTTTTTGCTCTATGTTTGGCTATAACTTCTGGTTGCCGTTGGATTTAATCTGGACAGCCTTGGATAACTGAGGGTAACAGTAAACCATCAACTTAATTGCCCTAGCTACTTGGCTGTAAACGCTATCCCGGTGTGTTCCACTCCAAGGTACTTTTAAACGTTTACCAAATTATCTCAGACAAGATTTCTTAATGGTATGCCGGGTGCTGTTTAAAGGTCGGCAGGCTTGAAACTATATATTTTTTTAAAGTTCTAAAGCTGTATTTATGGATTTTATCAGCTTGAGGTTCACTCCATGCCATCCATCTGTGGAGCAATTAGTATTTACCTTTGCTCTACGGGCTCAGTTTTAAGTTAAATTATTTTTTAAGTAGAAGAAGTTTTAAGAGGTTCCCCCCCCCCTTTCTAACGACCTAGCTGTGTTTCTACAAAAGAATAACATCTCCTACAAATGGATTGTACCTGAAGGTATACTTTTCAAATTTAAAGATAAGAGGGGTAAAATTGACTCTGTAATGAAAGCACGTGAGGTCTTGCAGCAACAACTAGATCCAACAGGGGAAGAGGACGAGAAGAGCAACAAGGGGAGTGATGATGAAACACTTCCTGGAGAAGACTCTGATTCGGAACATGGGGCGGCTGCCCCCAAGCAAAGATATCAATTGAGGGACAGAAGAGGGAAATGAGATGCCAATTTTCTCTGAAGTTTGGTCTTGCTTCTTAATATTTGTTGTTGTTGTTGTTCAGTCGCACAGTCGAGTCCGATTCTTTGCGACCCCATGGACCAGATCACACCAGGCCTTCCGGTCTTCCGCCGTCCTCTGAAGTTTGCTCAATTTCATGTCCGTTGCATCTATGACACTGTCTAACCATCTCATCCTTTGCCGTCCCCGTCTTCTTTGACCTTCAATCTTTCCCCTTGGGTAAAGGCCAGCGTTGTGCAGCCTGGGCATCCCTACACACAAGCAGAAGGGGCATTGCGCAGGAGAAAATGAAAGCCCCCAGGGACAGCCTTCTGCCCGCCCACCCCCTCTGACTGGGATTTCTCTGCATACAGCTGCCCCAAGGTGTGGAGGGAGGCTCGCCTAATGTGTTCGCAGACTGGCTATGTGATTTTGGGTCTGCATGTAGAGACCTCTGTTATGAAATATCAAATGGCAGGGTTGCCAGCTTCCAGGTGGCCCCAGGAGATCTCCAAGAATCACAACTAATCCACACTACAGAGATCAGTTCTCAGCAAGAAAACGGCTGCTGTGGAGGGTGGATCCGGTTGGCAGAGTGATTAACACAACAGAGGTGCACAATCTGATTAAAGTGTAGAGGAAGCTTTATTCAGGAACTAACAAACTTGATAGTAAAGAGAAGAGATAGAGACGGGTTAGCAGGAGAGAAGGGGCTGACCTTACTCTCCCACGATCTCACATCCCCTTGCTGCCCCCTGCAAGGTCTTCGCCTCTTCTTCTTTGTACACCAGACACTGCCTGTTCCAATATACTCTATGGCAGTGATGCCGAACCTTTTAGAGGCCGAGTGCCCAAACTGCGGCCCAAAACCCACTTATTCATCGCAAAGTGCCAACACGGCAATTTAACCTGAATCCTGAGGTTTTACTTTAGAACAAACAACTCACACATTCACTTAAGATGATCCAAACAAAGTAAGGAAAGCAATTCTAAAGGCTTTCATTTACTTGAAATTATTTGGCAGAGAATTCGACACTTGAATGATGGTCTGGGCCTGGCTGGGGCGATGGCACGCGTGCCCACAGAAAGGGCTCTGAGTGCCACCTCTGGTACCCGTGCCATAGGTTCACCACCACTGCTCTATGGCATAGGAACCCGTCTGAGGTCCCCCCCCCAGCTCCGCCCTCCCCAGCCTCAAATCTCCAGGAATCTCCCAGCCTGGAGTTGCCAGCCGTATGCAATGCCAGTTCTGACTCTCCACCCTTCACACGTACAAACTTTGCTTGCATATCATTCTTGAAACACGATGCCAGGATACCCAGCTGTGGTCAGTAATAACACCATTTGGTGAACAGAAATTCCTCATGATTAAGGGCATGAAGGCCTGCTTTCATGTAAATTAGACACATCTGTAAGCAAGCCCTTCAGGACAGACTGTACAGTACAGACCCAGAGGTGCTTTCCACACAGGGGACAGGATTCTGTGGTTTCCCCACTGCTGGTACAGCTGCTGAGAAAGCACAGCAGCAAGGGGGCTTCCACGCAGCCGATTTCCTGCTGTTTTCCTGCCTCATTTTTCCCAGTATAGTGGCCACCCCCCTCCTCTGGTTCACCAGGACTTTTGCCCGTTTTTCCTTAAAAATCAGCACTATCATACTATCATACTGTTATATCGATGTAATGTTTTTTCAATATGTGTGCCAGGCTCTCTGAATCCTGAGCTTTCATTTTTAAAAAAGTTTTAAAAGTAAGTCTTTATCCCCCTCCATTGCAGAGATATTTAGAGACTTACTTTAGTTAGAGACTTGTCTAAAAAAACGAAAGCTGGGAATTCAGAGAGCCTGGCACACACACTGAAATGACATTAAATCGATATAACTATATTATAGTGCCATTTTTCTCAAAAAATAAAAGCACCCCCCCCTCCCCGAAGAAGGGCAGGAAATGCCCACTGTGGTGACAGGGTTATGGGAAATGGCTGCCATGTGGGTAGGGTATGCGAATCCATCGAGACTTCAAAACTTCAGAGTAAAGCAGGTTTGAGAGAGAGCAAAGAAAAGCCAAAGAAATCCTGGGAAGTCCATGAATGCATCATGAAGCTGTGGGAAAGAGGACAGCCAGATGCTTTTAAAAAAAAATACCGGACACACGGAGACTCTGCCCCGTCCTCCCAGGGCAAAGAGCTCAAGGCTTGCTGTTTGGCCAGCAGGGGAGCTCCCAGCCCCAGTGTGAAGCAGCAGCCACACACCGCCGTTTGCCCTTGGAGGAGGCAGTGCTCAGCACGGAACAGCAGCAGTTGCTTCGCACTGCCTTGGCGCTGTCTCCTCCAAGCCCAACCAGGGTGTTGCACATTTTAGGCTTGGTAGGCTGCTAAATGGTCCAGACAGTCCAGTATTTTCACTGACTGCTCGGGAAAAACACTGAAAAAACACTGGACATTTAAATGACTGGTATTTTTGCAGTTTTCCCCCCTGGTAAAGGTAAAGGTAAAGCCAGACAGTCCAGTATTTTCACTGACTGCTCGGGAAAAACACTGAAAAAACACTGGACATTTAAATGACTGGTATTTTTGCAGTTTTCCCCCCTGGTAAAGGTAAAGGTAAAAGTCTCCCTTGCTCGAAAGCCAGTCGAGTCCGACTCTAGGGTTGCGGTGCTCATCTCCGTTTCCAAGCCGAAGAGCCAGCGCTGTCCGAAGACGTTTTCCGTGGTCATGTGGCCGGCATGACTAAACACCAAGGCGCACGGAACGCTGTGACCTTCCCACCGAAGTGGTCCCTATTGATCTACTTGCAATGTCTTGCTT